GAGTTAATGGCGTACCTCAGTGAGGGCTTAGTTGTAGACAATAGTGAAATGTTTGATTTGGTTCAGTGGGGGAGGGCACAAGCATTAACTTGGCCGATCCTAACACGACTGGCAATGGATATTTTTTCGATCCCGGTCTTCACTGTTGCAGCCGAACAAGCATTCAGTACAACCGGGTGAATACTTGAAGAACGAAGAAACGCATTGCAACAGGATATTGTTGAAGCTTTGGTGTGCATCAAGGATTGGGATCGTTCCAACCAACGCTTACATGATACAATCTCACCGGCAAGCCAAGAATGGATCGACGAATTTAATAGATTAACTTTTAATTTTCAAGACGATCCTTCTGCTTCAAATTAAATTTTATTATTGTAATTTGTAAATATTTATTTACTTTGTAATTTTTAATTTGTATAGTGTTATTGTAATCTTGTATAGACTTTATAAGTTCGTCAAATTTGTAATTCGTCCCACAATGATTGCACTTTTTTTTCCTTACCAAGTTTTTATCCTAATTGGGTTTTTCTTGGTAAAGTTTTTAATGAGGCAATCATGAATTACAAATTTAAAAATTAATAAAAAAATAATTTTTTTATATAGTTCGTGTGTTCATTTCAAATTTCAAATTGTAATATATATATATATATATAATATAAAAATATAATATAAAAAATATTTAAATTTTTGGGCAGTTTAGTTGGGCAACGGGCAGCCAAAGGCTGCTTGATGCCTGTCCAAGCGAAAATTCGGGTTGGGCAGCCTGAATTTTTGGCTGTTCGGGCTCGATAATCGGGTAAAAATTCAGACATTTCGGTGGTCGCGGGCTGCTCGTCCAAAGTTTCAGCACTAGGTACAACGTTGGTGATGGTGGCATAATAGAAAAAAGATGGCCAGCACTCTTATTTAGCATATAAGGATCGATTTTCAATTTTTCATTATCTGGTATGAGATTTAAAATTATATCTCTTAATCTCTTATTAATATGTATTCCTAATAGATTGTTAAGTGGCAGCTAGATTGATAACGTGAAGATACCATTGATCTCATTTTTTGTTCAATATAATAAATTTTTAATACTTTATGTCATGTTTTCAAATAGGGATTAGTGACGTAGAGGTTTATTTAGAAATTTAAACCTGATTAAGAAAGTAATTATACAATTAACAGTTCAAAATTAGATTTCAAATCTAAAATATTCAGGTATTTTCAAACAAACTCTACTATTTTAAGGAAATTGAGTTTTTAAGAAAAAGTGAGATGGACCTTACAAACCATAATCACTGTTAAAATCAATATTAAAAGTCAGTCTCCAGCATCCACAGGGTTAAATACAGAAAAGTAAATAACTGACATCAACCAGTCTAGTAGAATTTAAGGTTTACAATCCATAGTTTATACATTCCTTAAATGAGTACGATAATGGAAGAAACACTTCACCACTTCCATTCTTCTTGAATGGAATTCCTCACCTATTCTGCGTACTTCTAGCGTCGCCTAAGTGATGTTAAATCACATTTGAAACATAAGAAAAGTGAGTGAAATGCCCAGTAGTAAAGAATTTATAAAAACTGAATAAATAATGAAAATACAAGCCCGAAAGAATCATTCAGAACCAAACAACCTTTTTACTGAAAGGTAAATAAACTTAAATTTCAGATTTCAAGCAACCAGCAAGTAATTTAATGATAAATTACTTACGACCAATGCAAGGCTTTATCACCACCGTAGTGGCCCATCTGGGTTTTAGGTTATGCCTTAAGGATACGATCTCCATATCCTGTCTAGGCCATCAGTGGGCTTACCAGTTCGCAAGATATCTTATCTTAAGAAAGTATTCGTTAAAACTTTAAATCAGTTCATAATGAGATCAATAACAGTAATCAAGTTATTGTTTTAAAATATTTATCTATATCAAACATGTCATGTCTTTAAAAAATTTACATAGACCAAAACACTTTAAAGCAGACTAACAAGGATATGGGTAAGGATATCCTACATCTTGGATATCAAACCTATGGTTAACTTCTCATTACCCTAGCCTCCGCTTTCTCTTAAAGCTTTAATACTCAATCTTCTCCACTAGCTTTATCACAAAAGTAATGTTTTATGATATAATTCTCATTCTTAAAACGAATTAAACTCAATCATGTTTAATTACTTCCTATTAGTGTGCCTCGACTCAATCCAAGTTTCACAAACGACTTTATAATTCAGTTTGAGGTTCTTTAAAATTGAAATCCAATTCATTGGTTTGGTTTTCCCATTGAATTTCGGCTTAAAAATAAGTTTTTAAAGAAATTTCGGCAACATACCGACAGAAATAGAGAAAATGTCAAACCTACAATTTAAGCTCAATTTCAAAATAAATTTTTCAGAAATCATCAAAATCAGTTTCCAATCAATTTAACAAGTCCAATAATTGAAAACCTCCAAATTCAATTCAATTTTAACAACAATTGTTTAAATTCAAATCTGAACTCAAAATTTATCAGATCTAACTAAAATTACAAATTTTCAAATCAATAACTCAAATTCAAGTATGGGTTTTCAAGAAAACCTTACTTCAAAGTATTGAAACCGTTTTCCCATTATTTCCCTCTCTTTGTTTTGTTTTTTTCCTTTGGGTCCTTCGATCAAGTTCAACCGAGAGAGAGAGAGAGAGAGAGAGAGAGAGAGAGAGAGAGAGAGAAGAGAGAAGGATGTGGGAGGAGATAGAGAACGCCGGGAGAGGGAGAGAGAGATGGCCGGCGCTGGGTGGAGGAGGAGAGCTGCGATGGGAGAAGAAACAGAAGAGAGAGAGAAGGAAAAAGAAGAAAGAGAAGAGAGAGAGCAGCCACGGGAGGGAAGGGGAAAAAGAAAAAAAAAAAGAAAAGAAAATGAAAGAAAAGGAAGGGAGAGAAAATAGGGGAAAGAAAAAGAAAATATATTAAAATTAATTGTATTTTTAAAAACTTTTAGGGTGAAATTTTTAAAATTAAGAGTTGTTAAAATTTTTAGAAATAGTTTAGAATTGAAATTTTTTAATGACATGATTAACTAATAAAATCAGTATTATGCACATTAATAAATTATAATTAGCATAATTAAACATGCTTAAGTCTTGAGATCGTTATAATTTAACACGCCACTTAAATTTTTAAAATATATCATAGTTTAATAGGCTCCTTAAATTTTAAAAATAGTTTATTTCACTTTTTAAACCATATGGGATCGTTAAAAAAATATCCGAACTTTTTCATTAAGTAATTAATTAAGGGATAAGTTGACAAATACTTTGAGGAGGTAATTATAAAGTTATAATTAATGTCACACCATTACTGTAACATAGAGGGAATTTTGAATGATTTTGCTTTCAAATTTTAAAGGGCTTGTTCATTTGCATTTTTTGAGTTAGGGTGACTTGAATTCAAATTTTGATTTGAGTTAAGGTGTATTTGAGTAAAGTTTAGGACATAATAAACAATCTACATGACTTTTATGAAATTAATCATCTTTATTTTTTTGGATGAGTTAATTTTTTTAAAAAATTAATCCCCTATAATTTAGCCAAAAATAATAATTTTAAAAAAACAATTATATAAGAGATTTATGAAATTACCCGTCTTTCTTTTGTTATTTTAAGTAAATTGCACAAATGGTCCCCAAAACTCTTTAAAAGGTGACAGTTTGGTCTCTAAATTTTTTTTTTGATGGAACGAACCCCAAACTATTTAAAATGGTGCAATGTAGTCACTTCCGTCAAATGCCGTCTAAAAAGTAACGTCATAGTACACGTGACATATCACGTGGCCCATGTTTTGGCTGGAAAGATGAAAATGTCCTAATTACTGTTATCTTATTCAAATATTTTCTCTCTCTCCAGCGGAAAACTGGGCCAAGCCCGAGGAAAATTGGTCCTGGCAGGTGTCGATGGCCATGTCAGTGTCGGAAGCCGCCCTCTGAATGGTCCTTGGCAACATGTCCCCCTTGAGACTGGCGACATGAAGCATGGGAGGAAAGTTGAGGCTCTTCAATGACACCGGCCTCTGCAGGCAGTAAAACGCAACATTGTGGGCCACCGCAGCCGCCTCCGCCGTCGCGTACGAGCCCAGCCACAGCTTCTCTTGCGAGTTCGGGACTCTGATCTCCGAAACCCATTTGCCCCACTTTCTTCGATGAACGCCCTTTTACTTTGTCCTTGTCTCTCCTGACTTTTCATAACTCATAATTTTCTCTTCTTTTGTCAAAAAAAAAAAAAAAAACAGAAAACTTTACCAGAAAATAAAAGTAACGTTGGTTGAGGAAGAGCTAGAAAATGTCAAAAATTTCAAAGGTGAAAGTAAGAGGAGGCTTCACCATCCAATCAAAATAAAGACGAGAAATGGACGGTAGTACAACTTGGAATGCTCCTACGCATGCATATACGTTTCAAGAGTATTTATGGGATCTTGAATTTGAAGAACGAGAGGCTGGGTTGCTCCGGCGATCCGTCCAAAGTAGAGGCGGTGAGATCTAGCAGAACCTTCTGCCTCGTCACCGGCAACGTCAACAAGTCCACCAAGCTCTGGAACATTTGCAACGACCACCAGCTCCACATTCAATTTTGACTCTCCGACGAGGTAGGACAACTTTGCGACAACCACCGATCAACGTTAGAGCTATTTTTCCAGATCTAGAATGCAGAAGAGGCGCGACACTAGGAGGTGCTCGCGATCTCGAGCATCATGACAACGGCATCTATACAATGACAGAGACGATACAGATAGGGGACGGGGAGAGAGATAGGGAGATAAAATGTGTCACAAATCTCCTAACATGTGATTTTATACATATACCTTAAAAATATGGGGCACATGATATCTCACGTGTATAGTGCCGTTATTTTTTAGACGATATATGAAGAAAATGATTATATTGCATTCTTTTAAATAATTTGAAATTCGTTTCGGAAAAAAAAAAATTAAGAATTAAACGGTTACATTTTAAAGAGTTTGAGAATCATTCGATTAATTTATCCTATTATTTTTTTAGGATAGGGTTTTTTAAAATTAATCCTTCCGTAGTTTCCCTCAATACGGGATAGCTATAGCCACTGATGCTCCACTGGGAATGGAAGTCGCCGACGCTTTGAACACCAACAACCATGGAGGCGGCGGCGGCGGCAAACGTAAACGGGGCGAGAGTGTCTCCACCTCCACCGCCGCAACCGATGTCGTCGACCTCTCCCTCCTCGAGGCCGTCGAGAAGTCCCAGAGCGCCGCCGCGGATGTCGTCGTCGACATCAAAACCCTAAAGAAGCTCGTCCTCTCCTTCGAGCGCCGCCTACGCGACAACATCGCCGCCCGCCTCAAGCACCCTAACAACCCCGACAAGTTCGCCGACTCCGAGGTCGACCTCCACGACGACCTCCAGAAGCTCAAGGTCCTCGCCGGCGCCCCCGAGCTTTACCCCGACCTCGTCAATCTAAACACAATTCCTTCCCTCCTCAACCTCCTCTCGCATGATAACACCGACATTGCCATCGCCGTCGTGCAATTGCTCCAAGACCTCACCGACGAGGATGTTTTGGAGGATAATGACGAGCCGGCTAGGGTTTTGGTCGAAGCGTTGATCGAGAACAATGTTCTGGAACTTTTGGTCCAGAATTTGCACCGGTTGTCCGATTCGGATCTGGACGAGATGGCGGCGGTGTACAACACCCTGGCGACGATCGAGAATTTAATTGAAGTGAAGCCGGCAGCGGCGGAGATGGTGTGCGAGAGGACGAGGCTGGTGAGATGGCTGCTCGGGAAGATTAAGGCCCGGGAATTCGATAGCAATAAGCAGTATGCGTCGGAGATACTGGCGATTCTGCTGCAGAGCAGCATGGCGAACCAAAAGAAGGTGGGGCAGATGAATGGCGTGGATGTGCTGCTCCAGGCAGTGGCTATGTACAAGTCGAAGGACCCGAAGAGCTCCGACGAGGCCGAGATGTTGGAGAATCTGTTCGACTGCTTGTGTTGTTTGTTGATGCCGTTGGAGAACAAGGAGAGGTTCGTGAAGGCGGAAGGGGTGGAGTTGATGATCATCATTATGAAGCAGAAGAAGTCCGCTTACGGCTCCGCCGTGAGGGCGCTTGATTTCGCCATGACCACGTACCCGCCGGCCTGCGAACGTTTCGTTGATGTTTTGGGGTTGAAGACGGCGTTTGCAGCTTTTATGGGTAAGGCAAGTACAGCTCTATGTTTTCATTTCAGTTAACTTTGTTCTACATTATCTAGCGGGGAGTTGAATTTGATAATGCTTTGCCCATTGAGTTGTATAGTTCACTAACTTCTTGATGAAATTTTGTACGACGCACAAACAAAATTCGTTATCTGTTCATTTGGTTCTATGTTATTTATGTTAGAATCTGGATAGGTGAATCATGCTAAAAGATTAGGTATTTACAAATGCATTTTTCTTTTGAGTGTCTGTGTGCTGGAAAATTGAGAAACTACGTTAATGCTCGCAAACGCATTATGTATATATATATTCTTGGTGTCTTGTTCTCTTTGTTTGACGAGAAAGAAGATAAACTATATCTTAGTAAGCTCTAGAGGACACGCCTATAGAATGGAGGTGTATGGATTGAAGAAAATAGGGACATGTTACCCCAGAAAAGATTGAATCAAGTGTGATTGATCCCTTTTTATCCATTCTTTTTTTATTTTTAGATCCAACTTGCGTCTTCCCTGTCCTGTTTTTTGAGCTCAGTGGTTAACTTAATGACTAAATAGACTAAATAAAATAGATAGACGTTTCTCCTTGTTTCAGGTCATCAGATCCTCTGAATTGAAAGATCACATTCCAGTTGATCAACTAATCCTTTCTTTTTCCCATTAGAACTCTCCCTCATTGTTTTAGTACATTATGCTTTAGTCATGTCTTGCACTTCACCCTGAATATTTGAGTTACTAGGACGCTCAGTTTGAGTCCATTTAGTTGCTTTGCATGGTCTCCTTCCGAGTTTTGACGTTTTGCTTGAAGTTATTAGTCGTCCATATTTGTTTCACATTCTCTTTTCTCTATGGATTTTACAAGATGGAAAATGTCGGGAAAGAGGGATCTTAGGCATACTTCAAGATACATGTTAAGTTCCCATTGGTTTTCATCTTTTATTTATTTATTTATTTATTTTTGAAAAGAATTTCTTCGCACCAAAGGTCATTTGACAGCTTTACATAGTGTGGGAGTGGGGTATGAATGCTCCTTTCTAGTCTAAATATGAGAACAATATTAACTTCTTATTACTTATGTTGTGCAGATTCCCGTTAACAAAAGGAACAAGAAAGAGCAATATCAAGAAGAGTTGGAAGAACGGATTATTTCCTTGATTGCATCTTTATTTGGTAAGTAGGCAAGTAAGGTTGTATGCATCTGTGCATGTTAAAGGTTTAGTGACTACCGTTGCTTGTGGCTAAAGTTAGTAAGGCCTATGTGTAAAAGAATGTTTGATCCTTGCAAACAGACATATAGAAAGGCAAGCTACCGGATTTTGTGAACCAACTTACACCACTCCCCCCATCAATTGGTGCAAAAGTGTCTAGTGTTATAACTTGCCAATTGATGAATGAAATATTGAATTTGTGGAATGTCTTCATTCGGTTTACGGATGCCCTTATTGGTGAGATTGACGTTTATTTGTTTCTTTTTCATTGATGCATGAGCTATTCCTTTTCGGTGCCTTTCAGTAAATTTTGATTGGATGCAGTTTAGACTATCCAATGTGCATTTGCTTGGATGCTCTTGACCTCTGCTTGAGGTTATATCACCTATTAGTGTTTTCCCGTTACTTTTGATTTGATTGAAGAAGCATCGGATACATTTTCTTTCTATCGGCATTGCTTTTGCTGCTTTTGCAAAAGAATGACAACCGGATCCCTTTTTCCTCTCAGACTATCTGCATCTTTATGATCGTTCATGAACATCTTAATTTAGATAGTTCTTGTTATCCTATATATATATATGTATGTATGTATTATGTTAGAAGATCTTAAGTGAATCTTGCTTTATCTGTACTTTCCAGGTGGAATTCTTAGGGGTTCTAGAAGGGAAAGATTGCTGAGTAAGTTTGTGGAGAACGAATGTGAAAAGATAGACCGGCTCATGGAACTCTATATGAGGTAGGCTGGTTTATTTGTTTTTGTTCTATTTTATGTTTTCCTAGAGGGTGAGTTCTTTGTTCTTATGTTTGGTTTTTTGTTATGTTTCACTCTAGATATTCCGATCGAGTTAAATCAGAAACGGAACGACTCGACAACCTTGTATTTGATGACTTAGAGGTTAGTACTTTCTTTTGTAATGCACTATTTGACAGCTTAAATTACTTCGTTTTCCACCGATGATATGATTCCTGTATGCATGATGCAGATGGATGAAGAGGAAAAGTACAACAGGAAACTAGAATCTGGGCTTTACACTCTTCAGGTTTGAGTTTGCTAGTGATTGATGCACTAACTTGTTTACTGTGAAAATAAGCAATACTTATATGGGCTGTTTTCTAGTGACGAACATGTGTGCATTTCTCATATTGCTGTTTTACTCGATTAGAAAAGGGGGATAAAAAGAGGAAAGTGTACTAGAGATTTGGAGGAGAGAAAAATGGCTAAATGAGGTGTATAAAATTGATGATGCGGTATCAAACAAAAGACCGAGAAAGAAGTGGAGGAGGATGTGGAGTTAGGATAGACAAAAGCAAGACTACGGGAGAAGAAATATAGGCTTCTAAGTTCGTATGATTCCAATGCCAAAACTGAAGTTGCTTTCTATAAGGCCTAGTTATTTAGGAGGTAGGCAGGCGAAAACAAACAAGAAACCCTAAGTCAACCAAGATAGAGAGGCAGGCATAGAAGAAAATATAGCAAGGAAACCCATGCCTTTATCATTATCATTACTGAATCTATTCAGCTGAAAAGTACATTGAATCCAGAGCTTGTATTCCTTTTATCCTAAAATGTTATTGCTAGAAAATTCTTTGTAGTTTAAGCTACACGATGAGAATCTAGTTGAGCCTGAATATAGTTTTGTGCAAACGTGGGTATCTAATCAATTTGAAGTAATTTTCTTGCATGAGATACAAAACTTGTTATTCATTATTGTTTTTGCTTGTTTAGATTCTTTAAAAAACTTGTTATCTTTTGGGTATTAACCTTTTGATTTTGGGATGCAGTTGATTGCGGTTATCCTGGGTCATCTTTGGTGCTCTGAGTAAGTTCTTCTTCCATTAACATTACACACCTAGATGATGCAAGCATACACATCTCGCTCTTCATAGGAGGTCTATTTGTATGTGGTGTCTTAGCTCAGTTTTGTTGTTTGCGTTTGTTACGCTCTTTGCAGGAATTCTCAAATGAGAGCAAGGATCGAACTACTATTGAAGCAACAAAAACTTACTAAGAACCATATCAGGGATATACTTCAGGTATGTCTGCTTTCTAACTGTTGTTCAGATGCGTGTGCTTATAATCCACATTTTTTCCACATGATACTCTGTCGCGAGGTTCTATATACTTCTTTATATATTACATATCAGTTATCAAGGATGATGCTCGAAAACTTTCGCATCAATTGCCTTGCCCATATGCTAATGCCAGTCACTTTGCCAACTTATTTTATTTTTTATTTTTTAACCATTTGCAATTTCATTGCGTTCTGTATGGGCTCCTGACTGTCTTGGGAAAGTCTTAAGATATCTATTGTCGGTTCATTGTCTTTCTTTGGTGACTACAAGAGAAAAGGCACTTTATCCTTGCGCAATTTATCCAGCAAAATTTTGTTAGCTGATTTAGTTGAGTTTGTTGTTTCAATTATAGAAGCATTTATTATTTCAAACTTTTTATTTTTGACTGGAATCTTGTAGAACTTGGAAGTAAAGATCTGTCTTAATATATATATATATATATATATATTACATACAACACTTTGATTTGTCAGCAATGCATCATTCCTCAAAGTGAATCGAGTTGTTCCAAGTTAGGAGGGATTTTTTTTATTAGGAAAATTACTAAATTGTTTCGCTTTTCAACATGTATTAGTAGGTAGTCTTGAATCGAAATCTCTGTTAATGCGTTCTCCATTATGCCTTTTAACATGTCTCAGGTTTCCCATTACTAGTCTCATTTTGTTTTTTATTATCACAGGAGTATCATGACAACATTGGTGATGTTGATGGACTAGAAGAGAAGGAGCGGGCACAGGCAAAGATTCAAAAGTTCATCTCAGCATTTTGATAGGTGGATAACTTGTTTGGAAAATTAAAAAATTTTCAGGTTAAGAGATTTTTTGTTTGTTTGTTTGTATTTTTCCTTAATTAGCGGACTATTTCTTGTCTTATTTGTTTCTAAACTAAGCTTCTGTTTAGAAACTGGACTGCTTAGCTAAAATATGAATAAGACAACATCTGGTGAATTTTTTTTTGGGCGATCTCATCTCACACACGATATAGCCGTGAGTAGGATTCATATCCAAACTAAAGGTCCTACCTTCTCTCATTTTCGAAGTGAACAGAGAACACTAGCTTAGGCCGATTGTTTCATGGTTTGAAATTTAAATATATTTTTAGGGTCCGTTTAGTTCACTGATTTGAGTTGAGATTGATTCGAGTTGAGATGTGATTTTATATGAGAGTTTTTTACTGTAATAAAAAAGTTATATGTCTGTTTCTGATAAATTTTTATTATAATAAAATTTAAATTCTAAACTCAAATCGGTAAAATAAATAGGGTCTTAGAAATTTTAAATTTCTATTCAAATTTACGAACTAAACTAGTCATTAGTTCCTTTTTGAAAATCATCATTTTCTATACTATAGGCATGTGCACTCGCAACTGGATTTAAGCACTATATGATGGGGTGGTTTCATTCACAGTGTACAAATGGTTTCAATCACAAGTTTTTAATGTGGATTGAATTACGCCGGAAAACATAAACTCTGACAATTTCTACCAGTGATTTTGAAAAAAGAATTTGTATAAATTAGGGCTCGTTTAGTTCGCTGATTCGAGTTCTTAATTCGAGTTGAGATGTAATTTTATGTGAGAGTTTTTTATTGTAGTAAAAAAATTAAATGTGACTGTTTGTGGGAGCTTTTTACTATAATAAAACTTAAATTCTAAACTCGAATCGGTGAAATAAACGAGGTTTAAATACCCCTCAAAATATCATAGGCTCTTTATTCTTTCAACCTCTTCCTCTCTCGTCTTTTTCTTCTTCTCTCTCTTTCTCAGCCGCTAACGATAGAACCCAAAAACTACCCACCTCTCTCTCTCAGCCGCTGCTTCTCATTGACCAAAACATCTCTTAGCAGCTTCTCCTCGCCGATCAGCATCGAAGATTTCAGATCTCTTCATCGTTCCACCAACGTCTCCATTGATCTCGTCCAAGTTTTGATTTCCAAATCTCCCTATTCCGCCGATCTCTTCGGACTCCTCCACGTGCAGCGTTGTTGTGAGTTTTCTTCGCCCGTTGCGACGTTTAATGGAGAGATCGTCCCCGTGCACGGGAATTCACTCCAAGGCATCCGCCACCTCTGCTCTCTCTGATCAGATCTGAACAAAGAAAAATACCTCCTCGCAAAGAAGCTTTGACCTCCCGAAGATGGCAATTGTAACCAGAGTTGCAAATTTTTTAGTTTTTCTTTTTATTATTGTATTTGTTTGTGATTTCCCGTGTTAGATCTTTTGTGGTGTTTTAATTGAAATAGGATTTTTTTGGGTCATTTTTTGTGTGTATATCGGTGAAAAATGGTTTGCTCGGATTTTTGTCATTATTGTGATTTGGTGATTTTTTAAAATTTTTAAGTATTCCGGCGCGTAAGGCGGCTGAACTGCCGTCAATACTAACAGTTACCGACCGGTATTTTAAGGATACCTTTAGTGATATTTTAAGGATATATTTAGTATTTTAAATATAATATGATGATATAATTGTTGTATTTTTTATAATAATTTATGAACATATTTAATTTGTTGATTTAAATTTTTAATTTAAGTTAAAATGTAATTTTATGTGAAATTTTTTTATTATAATAAAAAAATAAATTTGATAAATAATAAAATTTAAATTTTAATCTCAAATGGCAAAATAAACGGTCTCTGTCATAAGTCAATTCAAACTTAAAATCTGTGGTAGAAACCTTTAAAGCCCAACTTGAATTTTGCCATTTATGGGCCCATACTTATAGTTAGGGAAGACAACGGGGCGGGTTAATTTGGGGAGAGTAGTAGCTAGTGCTGGAACTTCGGGTCGGCGGGCCGCCCGAAGCCTGAATTTTTTCGGGCTCGGGCGGGCCGGCCCAATTCCCGCCCGTCCAAGCAAAAAATTCGGGTTTGGGCTCGGGCAGCCCGGATTTAACATGTCCACCCTTGCCCGCCGCCGTCTAACCACCGTATACTGCCGTTCGCCGGGATTTTTTTGCATTTTTCCGACCAAGCCCGAACTACCCGATCTGAAAATTGCCCGAAAATTGGGTGTGCCCGAATTGCCCGACCCGAAGC